CTTTCTCTCTAATGAAAACTTAAACTTTGCTATAATAACCTTACAGAATCCTAGTAGCATTGCATATCAGAAGTTCTCGAATTGTACTTACTTACCTATTTGAAAAATCAAAATTGTAGTTTTCAGATGAAACTAAAATAACCGTGGATCATCCATTCTGAACCACTTGTATACAAGATGCTGTTTTATTACATAAATAAAAAATAACAGAAAATAATACTTTTATTCTAATAATATACATGTTGCTCCTAAATATCATAATACATATATGCAAACTTTCGAGATGCAGGGTGATGAAGTTTTCAATAATAAAACATTTTTTTATTAATTTCTGTAATACCATTTTAGAAGTCTGTGTATCAAGAATACCACTTTTTTCCACCAGTGGCGCTCGTAATGATTTTGTCCTGCCTATTTTAGCAGCCATTGGTAGGTACGTCACCGATTTTTCCTAAAATAAAAATTATTTTTGAAATCCCAAATCATTTCTAAGTAAAGTTGTTTACCTTTTCTCAAGACTGCTTTAGACTAACAATGCATAAATATTTTTTTAACGGCAGTTTAAGTACAGCGAACTTTAAATACTAAACAGTCAAAGATCTGCATGGTGTCCATTTTAATCTATTTCATTTAATGCTATTTGGGAAATGGTGAGTGGTCGGTTAAATTAGAGAAAAGTTGAGCATTTCTGTCATCAATAAAGTTACGTTTACAGAATTGCCAAATTTTCATTTGTTTTTCAATATACAGGGGAAAATGTAAATAATTTCTTAAAAATGTATTTATTAGTGAGAAAGTATGTTGCCATCAAAGTGGGATCATTTAAAATGCACATCCTGTATAGTGTAACGTAAAATATTGTAACAAAATTTATTTTTTAACAAATTATAAACATACCGGATGTAAAAGTCAATGCGCAATTTTGAAATTTTGTTTTGTTATTTTTTTCTTTAATTATTAATTTTGTTTAACTTATTTGACCTAACATGTTTATATTAACTTGATTCCTAAGAAAATGGGGCTTATTTTAGCTGTATTATACTTTACTATTTAGCTGTAATTATAGGTAAACATTTTAAGTTTTTTTTAGTAATTTTGTTAAGGACCAACAAAAAATATTCAATATTATTTTTTACAGCTAATTTAAGCATATTAAAGTATTTTAGGACACTTCATGGTATACAATAGATCGAAAAGTAAAAATAGTTGTAAAGATTACAAAATTACTTAATTTTTTTTATTTGATACTTTGTAAAAAAGGTGTAGAATTTAAAAACGGAAAAATATAGAGGGTGTTTTATTTAAAAATATGAAATACAAGTATATCATAGTATATCATCATAATTAACCATACATTCCTACCAAAATTCGTGTAGCGGATAAAAAATAACAAAATGGCAAACATCTTAACTTTGTTTACAACCGGTATATTAAATATTATAAATTATTTATTTGTACTTCTTTTTGAGCACCCCCTCCCCTCTCGGTCAACGGTATTTCGAAGATAATAACCACCGATAACCAAGAACCTCCGATCAAGAACCCACCAACCGAGATTTAGGGTTCCTTCTTACCGCAGTTAAAAAAAATATATATATATATATAATAATTATAATTTATATAATTTTTTGGAGTTTTTTAGGTTTTACATTTTGTTTAAGGTTTTTTTATCTTTTTAAAATAAAATGATTTTTACATAATACTAATCATTTGTAAGCAATCTCATACATTCTATTTAACAACGGTTAAAGTTTAACCGTAACGTTTAACTTAAAACTACTGTCAAGTGGATGCTTAATTATTGAAAAAAAATTACCTGTAACACATTTAGTTATAAATTTAAAATTCTTTAATCCACCCTTTTCGTTTCTGCCAGACCAGTATAGAGTTAGGGTTAAATCATGATTAATGATTGTTCCCAACATTTTTCGGGTCATGGTGGCCCCATATTTCCCCCCTACCAGACTTAATTTCAGACACCGAAATTCAAATTAAGTTATATGAGGATATAGAATACCAGTTTATATGTATGAATTAGGGATTGCAATCCCCGCAAGGTTTTTGTGATCCCGGGATTATGAAATTGGGACATGAAATCCCGGGATTCAAGATCCCGAAATTTACCGGGTTTAAAATTGTTGGATACCGGGATTTTTGGAAACTATTTTTTCGGGATTGGGACCCCTAGTATGAATACATAATATCGTGGGCTTACAGCGAAAATCCACTAAGTCACATTTTTGGTTGAATTGGATTAAACACACCACTATGTCCAGTTTTTCACGGTCTTTAACATGAAAAACCCATTAAGTCCAATTTATGATATAAGGATGCCGAAATTGGACTTAATGGGGTTTTCATGTTAAAGACCGTGAAAAACTGGACATAGTGGTGTGTTTAATCCAATTCAACCAAAAATGTGACTTAGTGGATTTTCGCTGTATACGCCCACGATATACTTATTTTCTTGGAAAATTTATTATTCTTGGACCTTGTTTATGAAAATTCTGATTTTTTTTTTATTTTCTTGGATTTAGGTTCGGGAAAACCTAATTAAGTTTTCATTTGGTTTTTCATATCTTTATTTCATTTTTAAAAGGAAAAACAAACGTTTCGGCCAACATTACAGCCTTCATCAGTGTAGTGTCTATAACAAAATACCAATTTCAAATTAACTTATCACAAAAATCTATGTTAATTTTTTTTTGAGAGAAACAACATTATTTATACAAATCACGAATACATAGTTAAAATTAAAAAGTCAAGTAGTTTATATATAAAACCTTAAGAAGCTTAGTGTGACAAAGTTTATGTTATAAAAACAATAATTAATTCTTTACAAAACATTTTTTTTTCATACTTATTTACCTGCTATTGAAAGTTAAAAACAAAATTTTACAACACTTACCAAATCAAAAAAACAGTGTCGAACATAATCCAAAAATTACATACAAAAAATTCACAAACACACATAACATAAGTTAGATAAGTAATCACTAAGCTTCTTAAGGTTTTATATATAAACTACTTGACTTTTTAATTTTAACTATGTATTCGTGATTTGTATAAATAATGTTGTTTCTCTCAAAAAAAAATTTGAAATTGGTATTTTGTTATAGACACTACACTGATGAAGGCTGTAATGTTGGCCGAAACGTTTGTTTTTCCTTTTAAAAATGAAATAAAGATATGAAAAACCAAATGAAAACTTAATTAGAGTTTTCCCGAACCTAAATCCCAAGAAAATAAAAAAAAATCAGAATATACTTATTTATACATTCAGGAAAATTCAGAGTAGGAATTCTTGAAGAAAAAAATTTAAACTATTTTTTCTGACCTCAAACATTTTTATGTCTGATATTTTTACAGTTTCACTATCTAGGGTTTTGTATAACTCTTTAACGCCCATATTCTTACTCAAGTCTTTGAGGTGAAAAAATTGGTGTGGCTGAATTCATAAACGATATAATGCTGACCAGTTTTTTTGACTTGTCTTATAAGTGTTATGTATTGGTCTGGTACATAAATTGCTGCAGACTTTTTGTAGCGTGTTACCTGCCTTTCACCTGTCTGTGTCACCTTCATTTTTGCAGTAAAAGTTTTTTTGCTTCGCGAATTATTTGTGATTTATTTTAACGCCATCTGAATTTTTAGAACATTTTATTGACTTATAACTTTTTCCGCTATTTCTTAAACGCTTCGCGACATTTTTTTCCAATTAGCTTCATTAAAATTTCTCTTTCATCCTCTTTTCTTTGGTTGCTTTTCACCTTCATTTAATTTGTTCGTAACTTATGTTTCTTCAAAATTATTTTGTAATACTTCAATATTTCCCTTGTCATGAATAAGAGCTCTTGTGTTGTCTTCCTCATCTGAACTTAAGGCATCCGAACTCAAGTGATAGTCTGGATCATTTTCAGAATTTCCCGATCCAAATGGTTCAGAGTTATCGGTAGAACACGTCGAACAAGTAGAACTCGATGAACTGGAAGAGGGATTTATGATTGATGGAGTCCGAGAAACTGGATGGTTGTTGCCTAAAATAGTATTCAAAACATCACATAACATACATAAAGTATTAATTATGGGTACCTTGACTTCCAACTAGTATATTTTCCTTAATTTCTATGGAATGTTCCTTTGGTTCGGTTTCCTTCGTATGTTGAGTGTTTTTAGCATCCCATTTTAAAGGATTTTCTTCTGTTTCAGTCGTACATAATATTGTATCTGACTGCGTAGCAAAAGTTTGTACAGATTCCAGTTTTTCATTTTTGGTTTGTGACATTTCGTGACAGTGGCGCTCAGCGGTATTCTTTGGGATTAGAAATGTGCGTTTTTTTGGTAATATTTTGCTTAACCCTTAACTACCATGGCCAAAAATAGTTACGTTTATACTATAGCAGGGTCAAATTTGACCCCTTTTTTTTAATTAAAAAAATCTCACTTTTTGGTCCTGTTTTTTATTTTAGTTATTTTCTGCACAAATATTTTTGCACCTTTATGAAAAAAATAAAACAAAAAAAAATGTTTATAACTGTATTAATAAAAATAAACTTCAATATGTAATAAAACTAACATAACAGTAAACTTCCTCGTATTAACAGAAAAATAAAAGAAAAAATCAATTTTTTTATACGGAGTGGTCAAGTTTAGGCTTTATGGCTGCTACCTAGAACAAAAAAAAAACATTCAAAACTTGTATCGAAAAAATAACAAAGATGTATTACACCTTACTTTTCAATGCAATTTTCGCACAACACCTTCTTGCGTGAATGATTCTTGCAAATAAATCCTTGACAATTATCGCACTTTGAGCTTTCCTTCTTTTGATTTTTTGAATAAGGGCATACCTTACACCTTCCCCTCTTTTTACCTTGTGGTGGCTCCGGATCATTTGGCGGTACTGGTTCGCTACTTTCGGTAAGTCCAGAAACTCTAAAAATTACACTACGAAGTTCTCTCGGTAAACATTGCTGTTGAGCTCTGCGTTTTATATGTTCTTATATGAGTTGTTGACCTAAAGTTGTTAAAAATCTTCTTCTTTCCATTATTTTATTTCGTTGAACACCATTAAAAATTACATTAGCATTTACTCCAGCAATATCTAAAATGCGAAACCATATGACTTGAGGCCATCTCCGAGTTCTTCTGCCAGTTTTATAGCATGCACATTTTTTATCCAACGAGTCCACCCCGCCCTTTGTCTCGTTATAAAAATTTACAATTTCTGGCTTTCCATTTACCATTGCATTTGAATGATGCATAGTTGATACTAGTAACACCGCACGATTTTTTTTAGGAACAAAAGATACCAGGCTCTCGCTTCCTGTAAAACCAAATAATGCGGAATTTGCTGGCCTGTCCTTGTGAGGTTGAAATTCATAAGGGACCTCTCTTTTGTTTTTCTTTAGGGTTCCAACATATGTAATATTATGCTTTCTTAGTTCCCTTATTAGCTCAACGGAAGAGAACCAATTATCAGCAGTTACGTTCCTGTTGGTTCCTGATATCGGTGGAATAAGGGCTAAAACATCTAGGGTAGGGATAGCTAGCTTTCTTGGATTTGTTTTGTGAGTATCCTTTCCAGAATATATAAAACTGTTTAACAGATAATGTGTCTTAGTATCCACTAAACACTGCATTTTTAGACCATATTTGTCTGGCTTACTTTTCAGATACATTCTAAATTTGCATCTCCCTCTAAATGCTACAAGCATTTCATCTATGGTCACATATTCGCCGCAGCTATAATTGGACTGGCAATTAGTTATAAATGTATTAAAAATATTAGATATAGCCGCTAAATTGTCTCCGTTAGCAATACGTTCTAGTCGCGTAACTGGATCATCAAAGCAAAGGCTTGCAAGCAAAAAATAAAATCGGTTTAGTGACATAGTGGCTCGAAATATATCACGGCCCGTACCATTAGTTGCAAATAAAGACCTTAAATCTTCGTTATTTGATTTGAATACACCTGCTAAATATAATAGTCCTAAGAATGCTTTTAATTCGATGACATCCAGATGATTGGTATACTGACATGATAAATTGTGTAAATTATACTTAGATGCCATAAAAGTAATTCTTTCGTTAGTTTTTGTAAGTATTTCTTGTATTATATCATCGCTAATAAGACACTCCCAAGCCTGAAGTGGTTCCTTAGGCATCTTAAGTCGTGCTTCTCCTATAATACCAGGCAAGTGACTTATTATATTATGCTTACGGGTACGAGATGAAGCGGGAGGACTTTTAGCCCACTTGAACCTGTTTTTACCAAAATAGGAATTTCTATTGTCAGAAATACTATTTTCCTCAGTTGAAGATTCACTGCTACTTTGGGAGCTATCGTTTTGTATATCTTCTTCGCCGTCATCATCCCATTCTTCTTCGGAATCTGTTTGGTGATCACTGTGTTCACTAACTTGATCCGAAAACTCACTATCACTATCTAATCCATTGTCCATAATCTTTTGTGCCTCCGCTTCAAGTTCACTTTGTGTCAGGCCACATTTATTGTTACTACACCCGGCCATTTCAAATAACCCACAGATCAATCTAAACGCAGTTATACCATAAGCGGGTCAAATTTGACCCAACGCCTACGTGTCTCTACAGTGGTTAAAAATAGACTAAAGTAATTTACGGGATCCGATATATCACTGACCGCTCGATGATTACACGGAGGCGCGTAGAGAGACATCTATATTCTACTAGTGGAAATTGTCATCAAAAACGTGTGGGGTCAAATTTGACCCCGCCATGGTACTTAAGGGTTAATTCTGATTTTTTATGCCATAAAAAACAAAACACTGATTTTTTTTGACTTGTGACGGTCTTTCCGGAAGGTAGCGATATGTGGGCAAGGAATACTCTGCTTAAAGTCAAAACAAAGAACTTCTGTATCTTTTCCTTTTGCTTTCAACAAACATTCTTGCATTCTAGTGTAGAAAAGCTCTTGTTTTATGCACTTTGAGATCTGTTTCCAAACTTCTTTTCAAGGCTCCATTTTTTTCGCGTGAAATTTTGGTCTTCATTTCTGAACAAGTTGTACAAACATCTGAACGAGGGCGATCAAATGTGTAGTTATAGTTATCACGGAAATACTGCAAATAGAAAGAATACTTAACTTCACATTGTAATTTTTGTAGATTGCGTTCGTTTTGTTTAGAATCAAAAAGGACTCCTGGGTAATGTTTTTCCAAAAACATTTCATACATTTTCAAAACACTCAGCTGCGATGATACCTTCTTCGCTCACCGCTCGGTCCATAGTGTACAATATAATATGGAAAACTTTGTATATGTGCGTCAATCGATCAAGTTGAACAGTAGGACCACATAATTTGTTTTCTCTGTTTCGATGCTTGTCACGACTATCGCTTGGTACCGCAGCTACAGTCTTCAGTCTTCGACGCACTAATATTTCGCACCCTTTTGGTTCCATTCAAACCCATGCAAACTAGCAAATCCTTTTCCATGCAAACTAGCAAATCCAATTCCATGCAAACTAGCAAATCCTTCATGGTAAACAGATAAAACTTTCTCACCGATGTGCCCTTTATAGGAAAAATTAAACTTCTTTTTAAACACTCCCTTTCTTTTTTGGTTGACTGGCGAAATTGTAATAAGACCTTGTAGGTAAACGTTTTGAACTACATGGTCTCCAATCCTATTGAAATTTAGGCTTGGAGATCTCCAGCTCTAGAAGAAAACGGGTTTTGCACAAACTGCACGGATGGGCCCTTTTTTATCTAGGCTTTTCAATTTTTACGTTAATTACCGTTTTGAAAACGGCGTTAAATTTTGCCATTGAAATTTTAGCAATTTGGCGTTGCATAAAATTGGTTTTTATTTTTTTTTGCGAAAACTGTGCGTCGCGTCGTACGCCAAAAAGTCAGGAGATATATTTTTTTTCTAATTGAATGGAAAACATCTATTAAGTATTTAAAAAAAGCAGTGGTAAAAAAAAATAAAAAAATTGAACATTTAAAACTTTAACATCCTGTCGAAAATAATTAGGGCTTATTTTTGATTAGGATGTGCTGTTCTTCTATTTAATATTGACTCACACTGTATATCCAATACTTGGAGGTAACCAAGTATCTAGCACAAGGTAGGCATACTATTTCCAAGCTCAATTTTTAATATTTAATTTACAAAATACAATTAAGTTCAATTTAAAACACCCCCAGAATAAATCTGCCCTTCTTAATAATAATCCTCCAAAAGCAACAAAAACTACTATATACGTATATATACGTATATATATATATATATATATATATATACGTATATATATATATATATATATACGTATATATATATATATATATATATATATATATATATATATATATATATATATATATATATATATATATATATATATACACTATGCTAGTGTTACTGCAAATAGAATATCAGCCAGGGAACGTATTGACAGTGAAATATCTACAAAAAGATACAACAAAAAGAAAACAAAACAAGATGCTCTACTTATTAAAATAGAGAACAAATCCTATACTGATATTCTAACAAATCTGAAAATGCAATTAAACCTAATGAATTGGGAGTAGAATTAAAAGAAGTTCGAAAAACTCAGAAAGGTGAAGTACTTTTGATGGTTAAAAACGGCACAGACAAAATGAAAGTGCTTCAAAAAGAAATTGAAGAGAAGCTCCCTGAAGCAAAAACCTCTCTTCTACAAAGCAAGAAAGCGATACACTTAAAAGGTTTGGATGAGGTTATAACAGAGGAGGAGATTCGAAATGCAGTGTATGACACCCTGACAGTAAATCCAGAAGCTTTTCAGGTTCGATCCTTGAGGCCAGCTTATGGTGGGAAGCAGAATGCAACTTTGGTGTTAAACGAAGAGCAAGCAGATAACTTGATAGCGTTAGGGAATATTAAAATAGGTTGGACCCGATGTAAAGTAAGAGAAAGGATTCAAAACCTAAAATGTTTTAAGTGCTGGGAGAAAGGTCACACACAAGATAGCTGTACAAATCCTAGCAGAGAACACCTTTGTATGAAATGTGGAGGTGAAGGTCACAAAGCAGCCGTCTGTAAAAATAAAGCTTTCTGTATAACTTGCAGTAAAGAAGGTCACCAAACGGGAGGAATAAAGTGCCCAGTTGGAAAGCCGAAAGAAACGTTGAGTGTCCCTGAGAGAGACAGTAATATACAAGAGATACAAAGCATATATTAAGAAATTAAAGTACTCCAAATAAATACAAATAGAAGTAAAGCAGCTCAAGATCTTGCGCTTGCTACAGCCAAGCATATTAAAGCCGATATGTTACTAGTCAGTGAACCAAATAAGCTTGCTTTAAGCGGTAGAAGGGATTGGATTTATGATAGTCAATTAAACGCTGCAATATATCTGACAGGAAAACATACCATCATAATGGAAAGAGGGAGTGGACCCGGGTTTTGCTACATTACCACACCAAAATACACAATCTATAGTTGCTATTCCTCTGGTAATGAAGATATAGATTGTCTAGATAAAATATTACAAGATATAGAAGTTAAAATTAAGAATGAAAATAAAATGGTTATTGTATCTGGAGACTTTAATTCGAAGTCACCCCAGTGGGGTATGCGAAATTCAGACTCAAGGGGACTCCTTTTAACAGACTGGATGGCAACAAATAATCTAAAAGTGGTAAATAAGGGATGTGAGCCGACATTCCAATGTGGAAGTTACGGATCCATATTAGACCTGACAATAACATCTGAAGAAGTTCAAATCGAGCACTGGCTAGTCAGCGAAGAAGAGACACTTAGCGACCACAGGTATATTATATTTGAAATATCGGAAGCACAAGAAAAACTACAAAATAATAAGCAGGAAAATGGATGGCAGATAGGGAAACTAAATATCCAGCGATTGGAAAAATCTATAGAAACCCATTTACTAGTAGATGAGCATCCTACAGCATCAGCATTTTCTAAGGCTTTGAAATGTATTTGTGATGAATCCATGCCACGCAAAAAGAAGTGTCACAGGGGCCCTGCGGTTTATTGGTGGTGTGACGAGATTGCTCAGCTACGCAAAGAGTGTAATCAAAAAAGAAGAGCATACACTAGAGAAAGAAACAAAAGTCTCCTGATTTCAGAACAAAAATTGAACAATTATAAGGATAGCAAAAAAATATTGAGAAATAAAATTAAGAAAGCTAAAAAAGACTGCTGGAAAAATATATGTGATAGCGTAGACTGTGATATATTTGGTGACGGATATAAGATATTAATGAAAAAGATAAACGGGTTTCCACCTAAGCCATATTTAAGTATGGAGCAGACGGAAGAGATAGTGAAGGACTTATTTCCTCTTCATGGTATGTCAAAACAAAATAGTGAGAGAAGTATCTGTGATATATATGTTAGTGATGTAAATAGTTGTGATAAAAACGTCTGTGATATACATAACTGTGATGCAGATGACTGTGATAGAAATATACATTTTGAGCTCTATACACTCGAAGAATTATTAGAAGCGTGTAAGAAATTAAAAAATGGTAAAGCACCAGGACCCGGAAATGTTCCTCCAGAAGTACTTAAGCACGTAATAACACGTAAAGCGGAGTGTGTACTGCAGGTCTACAACAACCTAGCACGCTTGACTAAGTTTCCGCAGGAATGGAAACAGGCAAAACTCGTCCTTCTCAGTAAAAATGGAAATGGTAACTCATATAGACCAATAAGCCTTTTAGATGTGGAAGGTAAATTATATGAACATCTCATACTTGGGAGATTAAATAATGAGCTGAAACGGACAGGTGGTCTCTCAACTAAACAATATGGCTTCCAAAAAGGAAAGCAAACCACAGACGCCATTACAAAAGTAATTCAATTAGCCAAGAATGCAGCAGCATTTTCTCATATAAATAGAAGATTTTGCGCCGTAATTACGTTAGATGTTAAAAATGCTTTTAACAGCGCTTCTTGGGAAAAGATACTGAGAAATCTAAAAAAAAGAAATATTGACAAAGTGTTGTGGTCTACGATTGCTTCCTATCTTAACGGAAGAAAGATAATACTTGAAGCTGATGGAAAAAGCAAAAAAGTTGACATTTATGGTGGTGTACCACAGGGATCCGTCCTGGGGCCAACCCTATGGAATGTGTTGTATGACGGGGTTGTTGGAGCTGGATATGCCAGGTGGTGTAACTTTGATTGGCTTCGCAGACGATATTGCTATGGTCATTGTAGTGAAAATGAAGAGATCCTGATAAATTTGGGAAATGCTGGCATAGCGAGAGTAGTAAGGTGGATGAAAGAACATGATCTTCAGTTAGCACCACACAAGACAGAAGCTGTTCTACTTACAACAAAAAGAAAAATTGCCCCAATTTTCTTCAACGTTTTAGGAATAGATATTGCACCCTCCAAAGCAATAAAATATTTGGGTGTGTGGCTAGACACAAAGCTGACTTTTGGAGAACACATAAGTAGGTTAGTAGTTAAAGCGGAGAAAACCGTAGCTGCATTGTCAAATTTAATGCCGAAAATAAGAGGTCCCAGAGCGT